GGGGGGGGGGGGGGGGGGGGGGGGGTAAAGGAGCCAACTGTTGGCCCTTATAAGGATTGCACGTTACGGCAGGTGCCTGGGACAAAAGCTTGAACGGCTGTCGTGCGAAGGTGGTAGCGACGTTTGACAGAAAAATGCAGCCGCTTGCGTCGCTTGAACGGCCGGCCGGGGTGTTGGGTGCACTACGCCTAGGAATGATTTGCAGATGGTAAAATGGTAAGAGCTCGTGACCCTTTGATGCGTAAGTTGAGGTTGTGCCTGCAGTTGGTGGTGCGTAAATCGGCAGGCCCATTTGAGGCCACCCTAGGTGTGTTGTTGGTGTGTGTGACTTCTCCTCAAGATTTGATTTTTCGATTAATGGTGGTGGTGCTGCACACGGGAAGAAACAGATGCGTGGGTGGGTGTCGTGGTGTTGGAGTGCTGTCGCGTGTGCCCTCTTCCTTTTTGCGTGCTTTGCGCTCAACGGCCTATAGAGCTCAATCCTCGACGGAGTCCTGCTTTCTCCTCGTGCGGGTCTACCGCAGCTTTGTCGTGCACTGTTTCGGTTTCGTTTTAGCCCGATCGCTGTTGATCATCGTTGTCCTTGGTTTTGGTTTTAGTTCCATAGCAGCAGTTAAGATATTTCGTAGTATGTCGAACGTATGGACTATTGTATGCTACAAGGGTTTGCAGGGCTGGGCAAACCAAGGCACCTGTTCTTTGCCTAGAGACGCAGTAGGTATTGTCGTTTCCCCTCGTTTTACCCCTAGATCTGACCGGTTTGCCGGTTGGCCCCGACTGTCTGTGATGGATGGCTTTGGAGGTTAAGAGGTCATCATGATGAAAAAATCGCCTTGTTGCTGCTTTGTCTTGCTGGCGTGTTAGGAAGAAGATGCCGCGGCTGTACCATGAGACAGATCTACCTACGCGAACAGGGGGAATCGTCCTCGACAGACATTGGGGAGACCTCCACTTCCCCCTTCCCCCCCCCCCTGGTTGTGAGCCCTGCTATATTTTTCTACTTTTTTTTAGCTTGCCTTTCGCTCAGGGGTTGCGAGCACTGACACATGTCACCCCGTGACCCCGCTCTGCGTACTTTGGCTGGTAAGCGCTTAGTCTAGTTGTTCAGTGGTTGGTGAATGGGGCTGGTGGTGGGCACATCATTACGAAGCCTTCTGAGCTTCCACGAGACCCTGTGTGAGTCGCTCATCGCTTGGCAACCAGGATAAGCAACCTCGCACTTTTCAATATCCAAACGCGCTCTCTCCCAGGTCGTCTTTGGCTGTCCCCCCTGACACGCTTTGGCGGGAGTAACCGACACTTCGGAGATGACGCTCAAAATGTACGAGCGCCCGTCCTCAAGAGTACGTACGAGTTATTAACGTCCCAGGAGACTAAGTAGCGATTCTTCGTGAGCGCGAATGGTGTTGTTTCTTCGTTTGGGAATCACTGCGGAGCTTGAGGAGGTCGCAATCAATCACCCCCGTGTTGACGGCCATCATATATACAGTAGGCGTTCAAGACTTCCAATACATCTTCATCGAGCGCCCACTCCCCGGGTGTTTCGAGAAGGCAAAAAGAGCTACACTATATGTACAGTAGCTGCCTGGGGCCAAGGGTCTGGTGACTTTCGACGGGTGAAGCACCCGCCTCGCGTGCCATCGATCGCCTCGAATACGTGCGCTGGGACACGGAGCTGTAACGGACGGACAAAAATTATGGAGGCATCGGGAAACCGGTTTCGGGGGTGATGCCACTACGCCAGAGAAACTAGACAGAGGCAAGAGCGGCAACGATGCCACAGAAGCGAGCCTTGTTTGAATAACACCAAAAACTTACATTGAAATACAACAACAAACGGAAACGAAGCGCGCACTTCGTCCACTATTAGCGACACACACAACGCCCAAAAGGCGGACTTCACGCTGTAATAACTACCCTTTTTTTGCAACAGCCCGCCAGAATTACCATATCCTCCGCATAGCGGAGGGCCGCAAATTTACCTTCAGAAACCTTGTGCCATCACCACGCACCCAAGAATCAAGCCGGCCATCATGCCCACACACACACAAAAGAACGGCTAACAATACCAACAGCTCTACAGACACGACGCTTCGATTTGGCCCCGCCTTTTCCGACACTGAATCTCTCCTCAAAAACGATTTCCACGACGGCGGAGCTGACTCGAAGAACGGCATCATCCGATTCTCCCGCCCGCGGCCTCTCCGGCAACACCGCTTCTTGTTCGACGGCTCGGTTCCTCCGGGACGCGTAGCAGATGCCAGCCACCTCGGCAACAATGGCGAGGGCCATCATCACGTGGCCTGCCACCAGCACTCCAGCAAAGACAGCCGGGCTCTCGTCGCGCTCGTCAGACACGTCCACCTTCAGCAGCAACAAATGGAACATGCTGAGGAACACTATCATGTGCCCCCCGCGCGAAAGCCACATGTCGTACATACTCGGATTTGTACGGCGACAGCACCTCGAAAAGCCACAAGAAAAAGAAGGCAGCCAGCATCGTTATCGCGATTTGGGCCGCGTCGTTCGGGAAGATGAAGACGACTACGCCGGTCAGCATGACACGGCGCCCGCACTCGACGACCTCGTAGTAGAACCGCTCGGGTCTGTACGGCTCCCACAGGCCGGAAACCGGCTGGGCTACCGCCTTGTCCGCACCATCATGTGCCAATACGTCGCGACGTTGAAACAGAAGGCCGGCGTACAACAGGGGGATGCCCAGCGGGTAAACGAAGATCATGAACCCTGCGTACACCTGAAAGGCCTCGTGTTTGGCATCCGTGCAGTGAACACGGTAGTCCGCCCGGAGGTACTCGATCCCGTCATCAAGCGTCTCGCAAGCAAACGTTTGGAACACCGTCGACGATACTGACGAATATACCAGGCACGTCAAGAGTAGGAGAGCCGTCAGATGTTTGCGGCGGGTCTTGTCTCCTGCAGAATTATGGCCGGCTGCGCTGTTCCTACGCATCGCGATCCAGCAAGTCATCGCCAGAAATCCAACAACAACCAACGGCCCTATGGTGGCGACAAGAAGCCGGTCGTGGAAGCCCATGTCAGACCACACGCACCCAGCCGCGAGAACCGAACCCAGATCGAAATTGACGACATCGATGGCGCTCAGAACGTCTTGGTACACGCCAGGATAGGTGACATTGGCCGCGTCTGCAAACTGTGCGGGGATCACACAAAATGGTTGGGTTTGGATGTGGCGTTAAGCCCCCGACTCAGTTTCCATGGCCTAAGGCCATGGTGCTGTTCCTGTCTCCATCACCATCCGTGAACTTTCCATAACCCGTACCCTAAATTTCTTTCCCCTTCCCGCACACACGGTGTCAGCAATAGCTTGCTTTCGCATGGATCTTTAATCATCGCCGCTACTGTATTGCAAGCATCTTGGTGTTCCAACACGAACAGCCCGGCGAGCGCAAACCTGAGTTAATATCTGCCACACGACGACGATGATCTTCAATGCTTGGAGGGGGACGGCTCGAAGTACCCTTCGATGGAAGCACCCGACGTTCCTCTCTTCAACCTCCGTCGACAACAAAAACTTGGAAATTGTGACAAATGCAAGGACTGTAACAATAACGGCCATGACAGTGGCGGCCATCAGTCCCTGGCGTCTCGAGCTTGAGCACCGCGTACAGGTGTGAGCGAGTGATGGAGAATAGTCGGTTTGGCACACAGCGCAATCTGTCAAGATATGGACACGCGCACACACGCACGTGAGAGCAAGGGGCGCATGGGGCTGGGAAAGACATGTATAAAAGCGGGCGATGCGTTCTTATGCCTATCAAACAACACAACAGAGGCAAGCGCTTTCGACCTTGTCCCCCCCTCACATGGTCCCTTGTATCCTGAGGCACAAAAGCTGTCGGCCCCCGTTCGTCCCCCGATGCGAGCATCCGCATTGTAGCACGCCAGGATGCTTTCACTCTCGACTGTTGCGCGCCAAAAGCCTTCATCAATATTGAGCATTTCCAAGGTAGCGCCGTCTTCGTCGGCCGAAGTGTGCTCCAACGGTGCCTCACATTCTGGCGTGACGTTACCCCGTGTGATGGTTCACCCGAAGCACTCATTCCAAGCTGGACAGTCGAGGCATTCCGTCTCGAAGCGTGAATAGGTATCTTCCTTGCTTTTTCAAGAGGCAAGAGTCAAGTCGATGCACATACAACAGTTTGGAGGTCAAGTTGTGACATTGACTATCTGCTGGGGTTTAACAAACTCGGTGTGTCGAGCTATTCGCGACAACCCACCGATCTGGTTGAAGGTGGTGACGCAATACGCCGCACCTGACACCTCGGGCTGCCCCCAAGAGTCGAGAGTCACTTGTCGCGATGCGCCCCAAGAAGATGTAGGAAGTTGAAAAAAAACGCAAAATCCAAGCACCACCACCAGCAGCAAACAAAAAAAAAACACGTTCCGTTTTTATCTCCTCCGTATCGCTTCGGTACGAGCCATCTGCGCAGAACAGTTCATTTCCGTCGAAAGATGAGCCGGTGATATTCGCAGACCCAACCACAGCAACCGCGAGCACGGGAGTGTAAGCGAAATTGGAGAGGAAGGAACACCCGGTGACAATCGTTACGCCACCGAGCTTCACAGCTCCGCCGACACCTGGCAAGGCGGATTGGTGGCGCGAGGTTATATGACCAGGGTGCATCTCTTAATTGAATGGTGTTAACGCCGAACTGCCCACCCGAGATAGTTACTGCAGTCTCCCTAAAACGAGTGCCCTCGCAATCGTTTGGTTCCCCTCACCCGCTGAGTTGCCCTCAAAATCGTACGAGAGAAACTCTTACTCTCCAGCCAACGTTTCGACAGCCCCTCCGTCATCGCTTGCCACGTTGTCAAAGAAGGAACAACTCGATAACGTCGAGTCGGCCTCAGCCACCGCGACTGCTCCAATCCACCGGCGCTACTGGCCGAGTTCGAATGACACGTTGCGTCTGTGAAGATGGTACGGTCCCCAGAGTTGTACATGTACACCGCCCCACCGAACGTTGCGGTATTGTTCGAGAACACCACGCCGACAAACTCGGGATCGCCATCGGATCCGATCCAAGCTAGGGCGCCGCCGTATTCCGCCGCGAAGTTGCCGCTGAAGCTCGTGCTTCCATCCCAAACCACGCTCACAGAAATCGCGTAGATTGCACCTCCATCTGCTACATACAGCAGAGTTGGAACTGAACTGAGTGTTGTTTCCACTCCAGGACAGGGTCGATAACTGCGCGTAGATCGCGCCTCCGTAGCCACCACGTGAATCGTCATCAGCGTAGTTGGAGGTGAACTGGGTGCCGTCGCCGACCCAGGACACGGTCGCATCGATTGCGTAGATCGCACCTCCTGCACAACTTCCAACGTTGAACGTGAACCGAGTACCGTCGCCGTCCCGGTCGTGCGGGAATTCGCCCTCATTGCACCTCCACTATGAGCCACGGAGTTGTTGGTGAACTGGGTGTCATCACCAGCCCAGGACACGGAGCAGTCGTAGTCCAAAAATATTGCACCTCAACCACTTTCATCCAAATCGCCCGCTTTGTTTGAGGTGAACCGGGTTCCGTCGCCATCCCACGACACGCTTGAATTATATCTCGCGCAGATTTCACCTCCATAACCTTGCCAAGCTAGAGCGGAGTTGGAGGTGAACTGGGTGTCGTCGCCATCCCACGACACGCTTGCATTGTCAGTCGCGTAGATTGCACTTCCGTGCTGGTCAGCGGAGTTGGAGGTGAACTGGGCGCAGTCGCCATCCCAGTACACGGCCGAATCATACGACACGTGCATCGCGCCTCCGTCACTATCAGCGGAGTTGGAGGTGAACTGGGTGCCGTCAGTGTCCCAGGACACATTCGAATAATCCGTCGCGTAGATTCCACCTCCACTGTAACTCGCTGAGTTGAAGATGAACTGGGCGCCGTCACCGTACCAGGATCCCGTTCGAACTAGACGCGTAGATTGCACCTCCATAAAGGAGGGCGGAGTTGGAGATGAACGACATGCTTCCGCTGAACGAGACACTCGATTGGTTCGCGTGTATAGCCCCGCCACTAGAAGCGTTACCGTGCGCGAGGGTCATGGCCGAGAGGTGCAATCTCGAACCCCCGTCTACGACGAACAATTCGGTCGCGTTCTGTCCATCGGCAATGGCGCCTGGTCCAGCTCCGGTGATGTTAAGGGATGTGCCATTCGTGACATGGATCGTTTCTTCGACGAAGACTTCCCCTTTCCACTGATAGCGATCGAGAACCCTTGAATTGAAAAAGGCGAAATCGGAACGCACGTGGTTTCGATCAATATTTTTCGAAAGCGGAAGTCGTGGTGGCACCCACGACCATCAAACGACGGTTACACATCGCCCCCCGTTTTCTCAATTTCTCCGCAAGGCCACTTCGGTGGACCAGCACGGTGCCGGGTCTGCCGTGTCGGTAGTGTCGGTATGATCTCTCCAGCAACGACACACTCTTCTCGTGTCGGTTGGGGGCACACGCGGGGTATTTTTGGCCTCTGGTGTTCTATAGTAGAAGTTATTTCTCTGCTGTGTGAGAGTCTCCCTCTCTCGCTTAGGTTTCCCGTTTCGCGAGGAAACCCATCAAGGCAATTGGACACATTACGTACTCATTTGTGGGACGGCAGTCGAGGCTAACCGGCCTTGAAGTACGAGCATGCTGTACTCATGGACATCTCCTCCTCTGTGCCCAGTGCTACCCTATATCCTCCCTCTCTACCTCAGCATGCATGCGCTCAAACTAACGCGAGGCATTCATTCACGCTTATTTCTCTCTCACCGCAACAGCAGACCCATAGACCTCATTTTGTCTGGTCTCGGCGCCATGTGTGAAACGTGAAATGCTAGGATAGGGTGGCGAGGAGTGGAGGAAGGCGGCGGGCCGACGACGCATTCATGATTTGCATACGACCCAACTACTAAAAACATCAAAATTAAAAAAAACGACTCACAGGGGACAGCACCGAATTGTTATATATGGACCCCCATGGAGCAGATGAACATATCTCAGTGCAAACGATTCGCTATCGGAACGCTCTTGCTAAAACACACATTTCCTGCCCGTAGGAAATTAGAAAACATTACAGGCAGAAATTCACCGAGGCCGTTGGGGTTCAGCGGGACATGCTACGGGGCCATCCCCTCCTCCCCAGATTGTACCTGGCTGAGCCCAGTCCTTTCGCCACCTCATGCTCCTCACACAGACCTTGTACTTGCCATGAAAGAAAACAGACAGACGCCCGAAGCAGGTCGTACTTTCCACCGGCAAGCATTTTTTTCCGTTCGGTTTTGCACTGAACAGGAGAAATGCCGCGCGATCTTATCCGAGGCGAAGCTGTTGTCTGCTGCCCCACGCCACGTTTTCAGCTTTTGGGAAGCAATCTTCACCCACATGTAGAGCGCGGCCTGAACAACACCGTCTCGCCAACTCCACCGATACTCAACAATCAACCGCACACGGGTGGCCAAAGGAGGTTGTAACTGGTGCCCAACCTCCCGGGGGGTCAAGTTGGGACGTTGGGGATCGACCTTGGACAACATGTAGTCTACGCTGCCGGTCCGCCCTATTGATTGGACCAACGTCGCAATCAGAGATGCGGTGCTAGCTGCATGGGTCGGCGTACACCCTGACCCCCGGGGAGGTTGAACACCAGTTACAACCTCCTGTGGCCACCCGTGTAGACACATAATGCCATGGAACGAATGCATGATATGCACGAAATTTGATCGCCACTTCTTCATGAGTCGTAGTCGGATTGTCGTCCTTGCGGAAGTCGGCGAAAATCGACCCAGATCAACTCTAAACTCCAGTAGTTAGCAGCAGCGCAATACGGCCTCGAAAACGATCATGAACCTACCTCCCAAAATATGCTGAAAACCCAAGGGCGCACAAGAAAAGTTATCTCGCACACCAACCCCCCCACCCCCCACCCCCGGGAGGGCCGCGAGAAGAGAACTTTTTTTTGGTACATTTCTGTACAGGCTTTCTTGGCGTCCTCCCTCTCTCAATGGCGTGTGCTGGCGTGTGCTTGCGTGTCCTCGTGTTTTACGGCACGTGCACAAAGGGCCTTGTTAGTAGTCTTGATAAGTTTGAGTTGGTATGTACATCCGATCATCCGCCGCCGGAAGAAGTAGATTGTCACTTCGTGTAATAGCTGTGATGGGCTGGGGGCACGTTTAATCGGTTTTAAAGTCTTCAACTACCCAAGCGACCTTGATGAATGTGTGTTGATTTTTTTTTCACCTACTAGCTAGCTAGACTGCACACCCCCTGTATCGTTTTTTTAAAGCTCGAGTGCTCGACGATGAAGAGGATGCGTAAACAAACCCAGCGAGACGTTACCGGAAAGCTCTCCACGAGACGGTTCCCACGCCACCATTTTCGGCACCGCCACTATTTGTGGTGCGGAGCAACGGAGCTATGGAAGTTGGTCCAGAGGGGTTGTTGGTATCTTGTTGTGTCATCCACGCTGGGTGGTGGTAGCGCGCGAATCCCAACGATCCCAACGAACGGCCGTCCGTTCGTTGTGCAGAGGAGGAAGAGCCTCTTTTTATGTTGCTGCTGTTGACGATGACTTGGATTCAATGTTCAACCATCGGGTGCACTCGCCATCGCAAAAAGCATCGCAGATAGACTACTGCAAGGTATTGAGTCGGTCACCCCGTGGCTCATTACCCCGCCCTATCTACTACGAGTATATGTATAGCATGAGCCGTGACAAGCTGATTTCATTCTCTTGGCATTTATTTCATTCTCTTGGCATTATATCTGCTAACTGCTGCTTGTAGTACCCGTACTTTCTCTTATATCGATTCTCCTACTTCGGCAATGTGTAGAAGAAAGATAAATGATGACGTACTACGGGTGATACTTGGTAGATCGCACTGATGAGGTGCGGAGGAACGAGAAGTAAGAAACTTCTGGCGTGTGGTGGCGTTTTGATTTTAGTCACGAAGTACGGGAGAGGTTTCGCCAGCAGGCCGAGGGGCGCGACGATCTGAGCATCAACATGCTCGAACTCCTCGCGATGGTAGTTGGCGCCTGGGTGTTCATTGTACAATCGGACATGAGGCCAGAGTACCCCCGCAATAGCATCCGTATGATGGGAGACAACTCTTCGAGTGTGGCGTGGGTGAACAAGTGTCGGGGGGGGAGCGAGCCCCGATCGGGGGCACTCATGCGTATGCTAGGATGTTTGGAGATGGGCAGCGGATGGTGTTTTGAGGCGGCTCATGTTCGGGGGGTCGATAACACGATTGCAGATGGGATTTCACGATGGGAGCCGGCGACCATTGACGCTCGTCTTCGCCTGTCCCGTCCCAATGTCGCCTGGCGCCAACAGGTCTTGAGCCAGGAGGTCGCCGATCTTTGTACCGGCGTCTTAGCGGCGAGTATGTCCGCGAGTCAGTTGCGCAGTCGTCTCGAAGAACTTACCTGTCGGGTTGGCGGGCTTGGTGTGCTTTTCGCCGCATGATTGGCGAGTCGGAGTACCTCTCGGGGGATGTGGATAGTGCTGGGCTGGAACAAGCACTTTTGGAGTTTGTGGCGTGGTGTTGTGCAGATAAGGGTAACATTGCACCGACCATATCCGGCAAGCTCGCCGCGGTACAGTACTTTCATCGAGTTCACAAGCAGCTTGAGTTGCCTACCGGTGCACCTCTTATCAAACGGAGTTTGTTGGGTGTCGCACGTGTTCACGTTCGAGCGGGTACGAAGAGTCGGAGTCGTGTTCCCGTCTCGTGGGAGACGTTGTTGGAAGGACAGCAGTTGACGGCGTCGTGGGGTACAGGTGGCCGCGTGTTGTGGCTGTGTTTGGCGTTGTCGTACTTCCTGGTGGCGCGTTCAGATGAGGTTTTTGCCACACTGTCGGGACAATGCCACCAGGTGCATTGTTTGCGGCGTAGCGACGTCGAATTCTTTGATGGGGAGTACGTGCTAGCCCCGTTGCACTGGCACAAGGCCACAGGAGTTCGGGTTCGGTTTCGCGGCCACAAGGGGGATCAGTCGGAGACGGGGGCGTGCGTTACACGGGTGCGCGATGCACGAGGCGCGAATTCTCAGATTGGAGCCGGTGGCGGTGCCGTGGCGGTGTTGGTGGAATTGATGGCGTGCCATCTCGCTTTACCTGAGGACGCCCCTCTGTGCTCGTTTCGCTGTAGGAGGAGCAATACGGTTAAGGTTTGGGGTTATTCCAAAGCTCTCAGCGCCCTTCGCCAGATTGTGGAGAAGGCAGGTGGCGACCCGAGACAGGTCGGCTTGCATTCTTTGAGAATCGGGGCCGCCACCACGTTGGCAGCAGGAGGAGACGTACCGGACGGAATTATACAGAGAGAGGGTAGATGGAAGGAAGGTTCGGGTACGTTCAAAATATATACTAGGAAAAATATGGTGGACGTAGACATGGTATCCCGTAAACTAGCGAAGGGGAAGAAGACGGAGCAGAAGAAGGGTTAGCATACACGAAGGTACGGGCAAGGGGACAGAATGCCATCCCAATAAACGTCGATGTTGGTGGATGTCAATGGTATGGAGTACCATTGGGGGTCTCGGTGTACTGAGACGGCATTTTGTTAGGGCCTGCCAGTTGACATGGAAGGGGAACTTGGACTCTGGAGGAGAGAGGGAAGCGACCGGTGTCGTCCCCTCGTTATTGGCCAGAGAGTTACCTTCCAGACCTCGTGGAAAATAATAATAAAAATGACACTTCGGAAAAATACAATAAAGCGAGTATTTCAGACTGGATCCAACCTAAGGGGGGAGCGAGTCTGAAATACTCGCTTTATGTTTTCCTTGGGTGGGAATGTCACGGAATGGTGAGATTCTGGTGTTGTTGTGGGAGCGTCATGGTAATGACTTCATGCCGTGATCGACTGATGACGAGCTCAAGCATGCCCCCGATTAATACATTAAAACACTACAAGTATTTCCCATCTACGGTCCGTCATGGCCGACCTGCTTTACACTCCCAGCAGAACTGAGCCACCCGAGCTATCGATCAACACCTGACAGCGTATGTATGTACACTCCAACACGGCTGCAACACGTCGTCAGCCTCGCGTATAGAGGTTGGTACACGCGGCCGAAGCTCGGTGCTTCCTGATAACGTACAATCAAAGGAAGACTGCCTATTCGAGATAATACCGCAGCAGTCAAAAGGGATGTCTTAAAGTCTTTACAGGAGTGAGTGGGAACGGGCTGGATACCGGGCTTGCTCAGGGTCAGAATTTTCTTCGAACCCTATCCCTTGCATTCTTCATGACCGTATTGCAGCACACGCTTTATTTACCTGGTGAACTCTGAATTTTTCGCGCTTTGGTGTGGAAATGGAGGTATCAAATGTACCCTGCCATGCCCTAACATCGTATTTACATACCTCTCTGGGAAACCGGACGATTCAACCTCTCCTTCGCCCTCTATCATCGGTGGTGTGCTGGAGGTCTGTTGGCTGAATCAGGGCGGCGGGCGAATGGGGCCGGGCGAATGAACACGCGGGGGAACTAAATGGAAGGACATGAGGATGAGGGCGGGGTGAGGGGTATGGGGCACACATAATCCCTCTCCGTGGGCCCCCTTCCAAATGCTCTTGCGCTGTGTGTGTGGTGCGGCTCTGTCTGGCCACCCACATAACGCGTCCCGCAGCACAGCACCACTACAAGCAGTACCAGCACAAAGATGGCCACCGCTTGCGATATTTCGTTCGATGAGATGGCCATGGCCTTGAGCTACATTTCCCTTGGTGGCACCGCGGCGGCACCAGCGAGCTCCGCGCGAGGGTTGCCATCCTTGGCACCAGTGAAGCAGGAGAAGAAGGCCGCCAAGAAGCCCGAGGCGGACGACGATGTGAGAAGAGAAGACAGTCTCTCGTCTTGCATAGGTTGTTGATGCCCGGGGGTGATGTTGGCTGATGCGTCGGTCCGGTGTCGCCATTGGTAGGGTTTAGGCTCGCCCCGCGGTCAACTCTGCTGAACTTCTTGTGTGTGAGAACATGCGGGTCGACGTGTGCACCTGCACTAATATAGGCTATCCCTCGGTCCGTTTCGCGGCTGATCATCCTCTCTGGCATCTATGATGCGAAGCTGGAAACAGTAGCAGCCGTGGATCAGCACGAAGCAGAGGATATTCAACTTTTCCCGCTTACAATCGTACACCTGTGCAAGTGTCTGCTGCCCGATGATTCGGCGTGGACAGCAGTGCATTGCGTAAGATACCACACCCCTGGGCCGATTTTCACAGCTCGAACCACACTTGACCCCCTCTGTACACTCCACCGCCGTGGAGGATGCCAAAATCTAAATGATGTGTACCCTGTCGGAAAGCCGTCGACGAGACAGCAGTTCCGCCGCAGCCGTGTTCGGCATCGTCACCATTACGGTGCGAGGTAATCGAGCTTCGAAATCGGTCCGGGAGTCCCGGAGATGTGGTGTTGTACCGGTTTGGCGACGTCCTTGTATCATGGGTACTCTCATTAGCTGCTCCCAAATCTAAGGTCTTTCACGCAACCTGACGAGCTAAACACACAGCACCATTTACAGAATTTCCGCTTTTCCCCCTCGGGTAGGTTTGCAAACCAATTGATGAGAGCAGACCGAACTCTGTGTGTCCTCAAAGAAACGTGCGTGGGTGCGTGGTTTTTATTCGACACTCATGAACCATGCAGCGTAGACAAGTACATCCATCCATCACAGGAAGACTGGTATAGAAAAATACCCGCTTCCGAAAATCCTTCCAAGGGTACGTATTGTTCCTCCGCATTCTTTATATCGACAGCGGTAAGGATTGGGAGGAATCTGCCTTAGATAGAATATATGGCAAGTATGTAGGCTCTCTCTGAACTATCTGGCACGGCGACGAAGCCAACGCATAGAATCCCCCAACGCACCCGCCCCAGAAGGAGAGCACAAACGAACATGCAACAAACGCCGCTGCCCAGCCGTCTCCCCATGTACCGCATGTTTTTTGTGGCGTTGTTCTTGGCTGCGGCCCCATGCTCTGCTGTGTGTGCTGATAATTGCTGTTTGGCTTTGTTGGAGCTATGTAGTTCGCGGCTCTCCGGCCTCATCCACGGGTGTGTGCTTGTTTCGCGACCGACCTTTCCCTGGTCGGCGTACTTTTTGTCTCCGCGGGGTAGGTGTCGTGGCCTCTCACTCCCGGGTTCCGGCTGTGTTTTTCTTGATTCAATTTTAGTGTTGACAAAATTCGAGGGGGGCCCGGTTTAACGACTCCTATTATTATATTTAGTGTCACGACGAAATGTGGCGGTGCAATGTGATTTTGGGGTCGCTAAACAGGGCGCTTAACAGGGGGTCGCTCAACCGATATCCCCACTGTACTCAAGACAACAAATCGATCTCTATCCGTGGATAAGGGTCTAGGATTCAATTTGCAATGAATTCATAGCGTTAGCGCAGCACTACCTCATATGTGGCGATGGGACCACATCCTCGGTATGTGTGTGTGTAACTTGTCCTTGGTCTCTTCTGCTGTCTTGGCGCGATTGTGTGGGTGATGGCGTTTTTTGTGGCCCTCCTACATATATTTTCATTTTTTTTTTTTTTTACAGATGGACGACTTGTTCGATGACGATGAGGACGCCGCGCCCGCGAAGAAGGAGGAGTCGAGAGCCGACAAGATGGCAGCCGCCAAGAAGGCCAAGGACGCAAAGAAGAAGATAGACAGGTGGGAGGGAAGGGCGATCGAGCACCGACTCAGCGGCTCTCGTGTTGGATTTATATTCTTGTGCAGCGCGGGTGACCCCAGATGATGATGGTTGCTGCTGCAGTGATTTCATAGGACGGTGAACGATTTGGGGAAGCAGTGGGATTAGGTTCGACGATTTCGAGTCTCTAAAGCCATGTGTTTGGTCTTCCTTATGAAACGCCCTCGGAAAAGGTTTGCAGATCCAGTCCCATAGCGCCTTACCCAACGTCACATCTATTGTCAGATATGTTCTTGGTGGTGTTGAGAGAGACAATTGGAGAGAGAGGGCGGAGGACCGCGGACACACCGCGTGACACTGCAAAGATTTTAACATCGGACCGCAAGAAATATCCGTGTGAGATTCACACCCCGAGCACGGGATGCCGACGAAGGGACAATCACAGAGCGCTATTGGTACCTCAAGAGACTACAACATTCTGCGACCTCCTGTCGCAACTGCTTTGTACGCCGTTCACCCTCGTGCATGAAATGCGCCGATCCACAGGTCGCAGATCGTGTTCGAAGTGAAGCCGTGGGACACAGAGACGGACCTCAAGGAGTTGTTTGGGAAGATTTGTGCGGTGAGCGCCTCGTCGTAGTCCGTCGTTGCGTTTCGAGTCGTTGCTGTCGTTGTGGGGTGTTGCAAGTGTTTGGGTTCTTGAGCGCCCCCTTTGTTTCATGACGGGGACTTGCATGTTGGAGTGCTTTCGATTCGTTTGTGTAGGCTAGTACCCCGGCCTCTCGCTCACGTCTGTCTTGAGCCGGCGCCGGTTTCGTTTCTATCACGCAGAGTATGCTCTTTGTTCGTTTTCAAAAGTTTTTGACGAAGGGACGGGGGAGGGTTACTTCCTTTTGAATCGGAGTACTACTGCTGTGAGCTACCTTCCGCATTCCTCATGCGTCCGCTGAGGCCCTCTGCTCCTGCCCCGTGCGTGTCCTGCGTTTTCCGCCCTCTCTCTTTTGATGGTGGCTTCTGTGCGGTTGTGCAGACGGAGATCGATGGCCTTGTCTGGGGAGAGGCGCACAAGCTTGTGCCGGTGGCGTTCGGCGTGAAAAAGTTGGTGCTTTCGTGTGTGGTGGAGGATGACAAGGTACGTTTTTTGCCTGGATGTTGTCGGGTTGATCGAAACACCTCGACGAGATGTTGCGTTTTTTTTTTTTTTGCAGTCGTTGCCCGTCCCACGTCCTACACGGTGGCTGGCGGCCCCGAGTGCCGCGGTTTTGGTGCGCAACGGGAACCTCGGCAGGGTCGGCCCCTTCCCTCGTCTCACGGAAACCCTTCTGATGTTGCTGCTGCGATAGTATGTCCTTCGTCCTTTTCGCGGTGTGTTGGCTGGCTTGGTATGGTGGAATGCAACAGCAACGCTTACGATGTACGTTCCGTTTGGCTGTGCGTTCATCCATCATTCCCGATATTCTCGTTTGATTCTCTTGCTTCTATTCACTCGTGAGCTGGCTTGGCGTAAATCAAACCGTTCGGCACACTTGCGTGTCTCTTGTCTGCATGGTGTATCGGTGTCCACCGGCGGCAGGTGGGCGTGGAGGACATCACCGACGTTATCGAAGCGTTTGAGGACTACGTCCAGTCGGTGGACATGACCACCATGAACAGGCT